GGCCCTCTCAGCCCTAGGTGACCGTCCCTGGCCAGGTCGCAGACTGAGCTGGCCTCTCTCTCGCCCACACTCCTGAGGCTCCTCCGCACCTGCCCTCTCTCTGTTCCTTAGACCCACTCCGGCCTCGGCACCTTTCCCTGGTGCCACCTTCTGCCCGGAAGGCTCTTCCCCAGATTGTCACCTCTCTGGCTCTTTGGTGATCATTTGACTCTCAGCCCATCATCTCGTCCTCAGAGAGGCCACCCTGCCCAGTCACTCGCTCTCATGGTGTCCTGCTGATTTCACTTGATAGACCTTTTCATTCTCCGAAACGATCAGGTTTATTTGTTTGCGTATCTATTGCCTGTCTCTTTGCCTATAGAATGTACTTTCACGACAGCCTGTTCTCTTCTATATTCCCAAACCTGGCACTGGAAATGTGCTCAATGAATATCTGTTTAATAAACGAAAGGGAGAGTCTCAACTGCCTGGTTGCCCCCAGCAGGAACAGGACAGCCAACTAGATACTAGGTGGCACATCACAGGAACAGGTCACTCTGGCGGCTCACAGAGAGGCCAGGCTCCGGGGGAGGAGTGAGGCTCCCAGGCAAGGCTGACGGCGCCCTCGGTGCTACTTGGTCTGGGGAGATCTCCCGGAGCAGGTGACCTGGGGCCAGGCCATAGCTCCCTTCTTCTCCTCCAGGCTTCTACCCTCCCAGCCTCCTGCATCCTCCATCTCCCAGAGTGACAGAGCTGGGACCAGCACGGGCTTTGGACCTGGACATATTTCAGTCTTAGGAATTCTGTAGCTGCTTTTTCCTGGCTGAGTGGCCTTGTCTATGTGTGTGTTAATTTCTCTGAGTCTCAGTTACTGCAAACACAGGACACGGGAATAATAAATAATACAGGGTGAGTATCCCTTATCCAGAATTCTTCTTGGGACCAGAAGTGTTTCAGATTTTGGATTTTTTTCACATTTTGGAATATTTGCATTATATTCGACAGTTGTGCATCCCTAATCCCAAAATCTGAAATCTGGAATGTTCCAGTGAGTGTTTCCTTTGAGCATATGTTGGTGCTCAGAAAGTTTCAGGTTTTGGAGCATTCTGAATTTTGGATTTTTGGACCAGGGATGCTCAGCCTGTAGTACCGAACTCGTGGGCCGTGCTGAAGCGTCAGTGGAATCGCGTCTGCAAGGTCAGTGCCCAGCACACAGAAGTCAGCGTCAGCTCTTGTCAGCATCGCTAGTGTTATTATTATCCACCAGTGAACTATTGTTTTTGAGCTCCCGCCTCACTTAGCTCCCACAATCTCCCTCCCTTCTTGTGGCAGCCCTGCCAGGGTGTCCTGCGAGGAAGCAATGGCTTCCTCTGCCCTGCCCCGTTTGGATGCGGGATTTGTAGACCTTCTTCCCTCACTTCCCCCTCTGAACCACACTCACGTGCTCCGCAGCAGCCATGGCCTGGAACCCTTTCTGTGTGGCCAGGCTGGCTCTCGGCAGCGCGGAGAGGCTCAGTGTAACACCCCTGCCCAAGTGATCCCTTCCCCTCCTGGGGCCTCTGCCACCCCGTTGCTCCAGGTTGCCAGCCTTTTCGTGTTGTCCTCATCAATAAGAAGATGCCGACCAACAAACTAACTCACGCTGTGGAGTCTCTGTTATCTCAGCTTTTCAAAACAACACACAGAGAGGGCAACTCTTCACCCAAAGGAACGTCTCCCTGGTGGTGGGTTTTATGCCCCATGGGGAGGTGCCGGAGGTGCCGGCTCTCCGTGGCTGCATCAATTACATCTTTAAGGAGCTGTCAGCCCCGCTTGCCTGTGGACAGGGCCCCACTTGGTGTTTCAATGTCCCCATTCGGTTGCTCCCCTTCCATGTCTGTCTAAGACTGCACGCTCCTGGGAGCAGCCATCTCTGGCCAGTTCCCGGCACAGCCCCTGGGGACGCTGAGGCCTTGGGCCTTGCCTTAGGAGGGACATTCCACATGCCCCCACCCACGTGCGCCCCAGGACTTGCAGCCTCTGCTTCCCTTTCCCATGTGTAAGGAGAGGTGAGCTTCTCCCCTGGCCCTGGGAGGCCACCCTTCCTGTGAGAGCCTGCCCCACCTCAGCCGAGGTCCTGCCTCCAGCCCTTTCCCACCAAGGAGAAAATAGCAAGAAAAACAGATGAGAACTGATACCCTAAGCTGCAGGGTCTGCTGGGACTGGGTCCTGGAGGAGCCCCAGGAAAGCTTTAACCCCGGGGCTCCAGGCAGTCGGGAAGGGCGAGGAGAGGAGGGGGAGGGAAGCACCTCTCCAGCTAGAAGCTGCCTCCTCTCTCTCTCCCACCTGGGGCCCTCGATAGGTCATTATTGCCCAGATCTGTGTCCTGGGCTAGGCCCCCCAATCCTCAGGCTGGATCGTGGCACCAGAGGTCACCCCACTGACTCCAGGTGACACCCTCCTTGAATGGTGCCCACACATTCCTATTTTAAGGCTCTGAGGCAAGGGATGTTCTCAATCTGCCAATCATCCCCATCTAAATGACCCACCATCAGCCTGGTGCCCAGCAGGAGAGCCGGGCTTGGAGTCCGGCGACCTGGGCAAGTGACGTTCCCAATCTGTGAAATGGGGGTCCCGTTATCTGCTGCGCTCACCGCACAGGTGGTGACGGGGATGACCTGAGACATGACTGAGAAAGGGCTTTGTAAATGGTAAACGTGACGGGCATGGGGGGCAGGGCGCTGCCAGTCCTCCCTTCTGCCGCTGCAGCCTCTTCGGCTCTGCGGAGGCTCTCCTGGGGACCGGCCCCACCTTCCACCTCCGCCCAGACACCTCTCTCCACCACCTTCTTTCTGGAAAGAATGACCTACGTTCCTTCGGTCTTTCCCCACAGTCTCACGCCCAGAACTTCTTCCATTGTATCTGAGAGGACGTGCGGGAACACTTTGAGGTCATCAGGAACGAGCCCTGAGCCCTGAGCAAGATGCTTTGGTCGTCCTTAGGCTGTGTTTGCTCAGCTTCCAGAGACGCTGGCGTCTCCCCAGGGGTGCGTTTGTCTAGGAGATTGGAGGGATAAGGGCTCAGGCAAAGGGATGTAGGGAGGGTGTTTACAGAGCGTCATCCTCACCCTCTGGGGTAGGTCTCAGTTCACAGAGGAGGAATTAATGAGCAAGTCACAGACTGGGGGCCCAGATTTAGGTCCTCTGACTTCCGGTGGATGCCCCAGGCCTGGCTATTCTGCTGAGGACACAGAGGAGGGAATGGGCCTCGCACACAGCAAGAGAGCGAGGATTAGGTCTAAGAAAAGTTCAGCGAGGCACGAGTGAACTGGCCAGCTCTCAAGGCGCCCGGTGGTTTGTTTGGGGCGCCAGGGTCCTATGGTCCCAGGGTAGGGAGGGGGCGCTACTCTGAACAGGTTGGAGCCATCCAGGGTCCTCGGGTTTTCAGTGGAATGGTGAAGAGATGGGAAATGAGGTTCCGAAGTTCCCTTCTAGTGCTTGTCTTCTAGATGGGCCGGGGTGGGGTCATCTGGTTTCTCCCACCCTCCAAGCTGTCCCCCTTCCCGTCCTCACAGCCTCCGCACAGCAGGTGGGCTTCGATGATGGCAAGGGGTCTAGGAGAAGTGCTGTCCAGGGCAAGAGGGACTTTAAGTCTCATTGTCATGCAGGGAGCACTACAGATTCTGCAGGCCTAGGACAGGAGAAAACAGAATCAACAGCCTGCCCCTTTACCCCGCTGAGTCTCGGGCGCTGTTTATGTGCTCAGGAGAGCACTCCGTCCATCTCGGAAGCAGCATTGGAAAATAATAACCAGGCCAGCTGCTGCCAACTGGCGCAGAGCTGGGCGGGACCCGGCCCTTGGCACTCGCTCCAAGGCTAGTGTGTGGGCAGAAGACACGATGGCTGCCGGCGAGATTGGTTTAAAGGGAGGTGGGATCTCCCCCCTTGGTGAGGGGGAGGGGCTGTCACTTGTGGCCCAAGTGTTTTTGTCTTCTTTGTGTGTCACGGTTGAAAAAGAGTGGAAAGCTCTGTCCCTTGACATCATCCTATTTATTTCCTTTGAGGGACATATCGTGATCTGTAGCTGCTGATTTTCTTCTGCGTTATGTCTGTTCAGCCAAAATGTGAGATACGTAGAGGCGAGGACCTTTTATCTTATCCTCAGCCCAGAGAGCGATGCCTAGCACAGGAAGCGCTTGCTAAGCGCTTGCTGAATGGACGCGCCCGTGCGTGCAGCGAGTGAACGGGCTGATCCAGCCCCACTAGACGCTCGGTGAACCTTAGCGTGCTTTCCTGAGAATCGTTCGCAGTTAGCGAGGGGTACAGAGCTGGTTCTTGAGACCAACTCCTTAGGAGGTAAGCACTGCTCAGCCATCGGGAGGGGAATGGGAGGTAAAGATGGAGGCGGGAGATGGGCCCTGGCAGGGGAGCGTGGGACGGGGCCAAAAGAGGGGGGTCGTGTGAAGGATTTTTTAATGGCGGTGTGTCGGCCTGCCCTGGGGAAGAGGTGGTTTGTTCATCGTGCTGGTCAGTGTGGGTGTGTGTTAGGAAGCACAGACAGCGCTGCCACCTTCTGTGTGGCCTTGGGCAGACCACGAGACTACTCTGAACCTCAGTTTCCTCATCTGTCGAAGGGGCAGTCCTCATGCTGCCAGTGTTTTCCCGCTCCGTGAAGGCTGTCGTGAGGCAATGAGGGGATATCCGGGGTGGGGGGTGTGCTGAGCACTCGTAAGCAATTTTTACTGTGGTTATTTTCTCAAAACACCTAAAGGAAGTCCTTTGCTATTTTCTGTTGTTATTTTTATCATTAATCAGGATTTCCTTCCTCTGCAGGAGCATGAGCCAGTGCATCGCAAGCTCTGCCCTAAATCTTAGATCATGGAGACTCGGCCGTGGATAAAAGACACTCACCTCCCCGCTCGCTGGGCCCTGGATGGGGAGGGCGCCTCCTCTTAGAGACCCCCAGGGGCCGGGTGAGCCTCGGAGGGGCCCTGCTAGTCAGCTGGGCGGCAGCTCCTCACACCCTGCCCTCCTCTCCCTCAGGTACAAGACGGTGGTGACCCCGCGGAGGGCGGCGGTGGCCATCGCCGGCTGCTGGATCCTCTCCTTCGTGGTGGGCCTCACACCCATGTTCGGCTGGAACAATCTGAGCGAGGTGCAGCGGGCCTGGGCGGCCAACGGCAGCGTGGGCGAGCCCGAGATCAAGTGCGAGTTTGAGAAGGTCATCAGCATGGAGTACATGGTCTACTTCAACTTCTTCGTCTGGGTGCTGCCGCCGCTGCTCCTCATGGTCCTCATCTACCTGGAAGTCTTCTACCTGATCCGCAAGCAGCTCAGCAAGAAGGTGTCGGCCTCGTCCGGCGACCCGCAGAAGTACTATGGGAAGGAGCTGAAGATCGCCAAGTCGCTGGCCCTCATCCTCTTCCTCTTCGCCCTCAGCTGGCTGCCCCTGCACATCCTGAACTGCATCACCCTCTTCTGCCCTTCCTGCCGCAAGCCCAGCATCCTCGTCTACATCGCCATCTTCCTCACGCACGGCAACTCCGCCATGAACCCCATCGTCTACGCCTTCCGCATCCAGAAGTTCCGGGTCACCTTCCTCAAGATTTGGAACGACCACTTCCGCTGCCAGCCCGCACCCCCGGTTGACGAGGATCTCCCGGAAGAGAGGCCCGATGACTAGACTCTGCCCTGTGCTCTCACCAGCCACACCTGGCGGGCCCAGCCCAGGCCTCACCTGCCTGCCGTCCCGCTGGTGTCGCCGAGCCCGCGCGGCTGGGCTGTGGGCCGTGGGAGGCTCTGGAGAGATAGGCGCCCATGGGGCGGGGGCCTCTGCAGGAGGAGCTAAGTTCCCTGCACCTGTGGGTCCTGCAGGGGCGTAGGCGGGCAGCGTGGGGAAGGAAGTGGGCACCCTGCGGTGAGAAAAAGTGTCTTGAGCCCCCACCTGCCCGGCCATCCCATGGGCAGTCCAGAGCTGGCTGGGCAGGTCCCGGGGAGGCCGAGACTGGGAGATGGTGCTTGGGCTCCCGCAGCAGAGCAGGGAGCCTGCTTGTCTTAGGTGTGGCTGGTGCTGCCCTGGGACCAAGCTGAGGGAGAGGAGAGGATCCCCGCTCCCCGAGATGGAGGGAAGGAGGGAAGCGGGGCATGTCTTGGCCTTGCCTTCTCTCCTGTTCTGTAGGAGAGGTGGCCAGAAGCAGCTAAGGGGCAGGAATCAAGGAGCCTTAGTGTCCACTGCTAAGGACTCTGTGCCCCAGGCCATACTGGGTGCCAGGGTGCTTGCTCTCCCTGCCCTGGGCAGCCTGGGATCGTATTTGGGAGAGGTAGGAAGGGTGAGCCCGGAAATCGTTTCTGACATTTGCTTTATTCTCCATCAGCCCTTGGACCCCAGGCTGAGCCCTGGGAAGTGAGCGTGGCGTGGCCTGTGCTGGTCTCAGACAGCCACCAGGCGGCAGCACTGAGTCCTCCTCCTGGCCCTGAGCTTTCTGAGGAGCCTGGAGCGTAATTACCTGTCATCTGGGCCACCGGCCCTGGTGACAGGCCTGGACTCTCCCAGGTGACACCATCTCTGCTGCTTCTGGGCCCCGTGGAGAGGAGAAAGCCAGACACTCCAACTCTTGGGCGAATTCTGCCTGTCTGGGAGGGCGAGGTCAGGGGCAGGGGCCCGAGAGGATATTCGGTTCTGTTTCCGGGGGCTCCGGAAGCTCTGTTGTGGACGGAGTCAAGGCCTTTAGGGGTCTGGGGAAGGACCAACCCTCCGCCTGCCACGCCGGGAGCCCCTCTGGAGAGGGGCGGGGTGGGGGAGGGGAGGTGGTCGTCAAGTTGACGGGTTCCGAGTGTGAATGTTGACTCCAGGCCCTTCCCTCTCTTGGAGATGGGTGTCCCCTGGCTCCCAAGGGAGGCCCACGTGACTAATAAAGACTGTGACCCTTATGGAAAGTGCAGTGCTGGCCACCCGCCCCGCCACTGTGGGAGGGCAACAAGACAGCCTCGGGGAGGAGAAGCAGTGGAGGGTGAGGGGGACCTTCCAGCAAGGAGGGTTCCAGAGAGTGTGTGTCTGTTTCTATAGTTACACACGTGGGGCCACAAACCCTGGGTCAGGAAGCAACATCTTGAAAATCCACATGTCCAGAAACCCCCGTGACATCTTGAGACCCCTCCTGCTGGCACCTGCCTCATGGTGACATATCTGGAGACCCCTCATGGTGACACAGCACCTCCCCCTAGGCGGCGATGCTCACTGTCACGGAGACCCCCACACGGTAACACCACTGCTCTTTATTTGAATGCCTCTCGCCCAGTGCACACTCTGTGGGTGCTCCACTCTCTGCACCCGCTGGCTGGGGCCTGCCAGGCCCACTCCTGAGTTCCGGACTCCAGCCCCTGGGGGTCGGGGGGCCAGCATGCACCAGGGGTGGTTCCATCAGCTGTTGCTATGGAAACAGGAGTCTTGGGCACTGGTGGAGTTTGATCCTGGGCCTGGGGCACCTGACCCCTTAGGCCTGCGGCACCTAGCAGAGAACACGCTGTGTGAGCCTCTGGGGTGAGGCGGAGCTGGGCATGCCAGGGGGGTGCGGAGGGGCAGCGGCACCCTCTTCCCCTCCTAGGCCCCTCCCTCAGGCCCCACGCCCAGGTCTGAGCTCCGCTCACTGCAGTTCTGATACCTGCTCACTTAGCCAGAGCCTCAGAACCACCAGGGGAGGGCAGGCAGGGCAGGGGTTGCCGTCCCCACTTTTCCGGTGGGGAAAACTGTCTAAGGAGAAACGCCCTTGCCTGAGGTCACTCAGAGCCAGGACTAGACTTCTATGCCGTGACCATCCACTGAATCACCCCTCTTCCAGGCCCCACCAGCGTCGCCCAGCCCTGTAACACCACCGCATGTCTCTGGACGTGCGTGCTGATTGCCCGTGGCTGCAGACCAGTAACCTGAGCAGACTGCCGCCTTCCCTTCTCACCCCACCCCTGCTCCCAGCCTCCCCTTTGCTTCCGTGCCGCCCCCAGAGGTAGCAGAGGGAGCAGGTCTGGCCTTTTACCTGTGTCCTCATCCCAGCCTCCTCCCACGGCGCTTCAGTGAGTGGCCGAGGCTGGAAGAGATCTCGCAGGTTAGAGCTTGGGGAGGTGAGGGGTGCGGGGGGCTCGCGGTTACATGCCCTCCCCACACTGGCCACCCTCCCATGTGACAGCCATCCCCACAGCCTGACCTCAGTGTTCACTGCCCTTCCTCTCCTGCCTTGTTAGCCCCCTCTTGTCCCGCTCCAACGAGGGGGCTTCTCCTGCTCACCCATCCATGGGAGGGTCCTTAAGGAGAGACCCTCCTTAAGCCCTCACCTTTGACCTCCAGCCGGCAGTCCACAGACGCCTCCCCCAGAACGTTGACGGCCTTGCAGGTGTAGACGCCGGAATCAAAGGGGCTGGGTTTCCGGATCTCCAGGGTGCAGATGCCTTGGTCAGAGAGGGTGCGGTACCTGGGATCGCCCTGGATCTCCATGTTGTTTTTCATCCAGATGATCTTGGGCTGGAGGCATGGTCGGAGGAGAGCTGGGGTGGGGTCGCTGAGGCCATCCTCAGGCTCAGGTGGGGATGCTTGGAGGATCCCTCAACCCTGCTGCCCCCAGTGGCCCTCGCCAGCCCAGGCACAGCAGGGCCTGGCCCTCACCTTGGGCGATGCTCGGACACTGCAGAACAGCTGCGTGCTGTAGCCGGGGGTGGAGGTGTGGTCCGCCAGGGGCTGGGTGAACGAGGGGGCTTCTGAGAAGTCTCGCTTGATAAACCCTTTAGGTTTGGCAGCAATATCTGGGTTCAGAGGAGAAAGTGGGGTGAATTTGAGGAGTGAAGGAGACCTGTTAGAACTGACCTTATCCAGGATTTGTGGGGAGCAAGTCATGGCCTATTTGTGGGAACTCGGAGACAGAACGTGCCAAAGCAGAGGAAGCCCAGGCGGTGGCTGGGGGGTCGGGGCGGTGAGCAGAGGCAGGAAAACCAGAGAGATGAGAGGATCTTCGCACAAGATGGAGCCTCACAAATCAGAGACACCACATTTCATTTGTCTGTCTTTGGAGACCCGACAAGCTTTCCTTTTTTAAACAAAAATTTCTTCCTAATTCTGTGCAGCTCCGGCTGGTGTGAAAAAGAACGTGCCTTCCGGAGCCCACAGGGACTCTGGGTCAGGGAGGGCCTCGGAGCATTCAGGGTGGCAGGGACAAGGGCCTGGAATTTAACATTTGACGCAAGTAAACACCCACGTCTCTCTTGTCCATCCGTGTGGTGTGTCTCAGGGCGGGAGCCTCATTCTTTCAGCAAACGCAGCAGAAACCAGCTATCCATGCACATGTCGCCCTTCAGGGCAGTTCCCCTGGGCCCTGTGCCTGAGCCCCAGCGACTGCTGCGATGTTGGCAGCCACACACTGTTTAGAACAAGCGCACAGCCTCCCGGGCACCTTCCGTCTGCACGGTTTGCTCTGAGCCGTTTGCTAAAGTCAATCAACCACGTCCGCCGCTTTACTGCCCCTCTGTGTGGGGGTGTGCGCGTGTGGCATGGCTGTGGGGTGAGGGGCGGCACGTGTTCCTGGGGCAGGCACCCAGCTGAAGCCCAGACAGAGGGATGCGGGGGCGCTGAGGAAGAGGCGAGGACAGGGTAAGCGTCAGCACGGCCGGCCCTGGCTTGGTCCCCGTCTGGGCGCAAACCCACCTGCCTTCTGGATGTGGGCGAGCTCCTTGGTGACAGTGGCCGAGGCACTGAGTCCACACAGGTTTTCCGAGAAGACCCGGAAGGAGTACGAGTTGCCGACGATGAGGTCGGAGACGGTGCAGGTGGTCGAGTGGAAGCGCTCCAGCACCGTGAACCATTGCTGCAGGGACGACGGCCTGTCACCCTCACCTGTCGCCCTGTCTTCGCCCTCCCTGCCTACCCTGTAGCCCCTTCCTTAGAGGGGCTCATTCCATGCCCCCAACCCTGGGAGGCCGAACCATCCAGCTTTGCATCCAAGGGATGTGAATTGGAGAAGGGGCCCCTGGGTCACTCAGGTGACCTCTGTGGGGTCTTCAGAGAAATCTAGAACCTTCTTACTCAAAGTGTGGCCCGTAGCTGTGCAACCTCAGCATCACCTGGAAACTTCTTAGAAATGGGGGATCTCGGGCCCCACCTGAACCTACTGAATCAGAACCTGGGCTCAACAAGACCCTCAGGTGATGTACATTAAGATTTGAGCAACGGGCTCCAGAGCTCGAAAGTGCTCAGAAGACCCCGTCCAGCGCCCCCTGCAGTCTCCAGGAGGAAACCGAGGTCCAGAGGGGAAAGAGTCTTGCCAAGGGCCACAGAGGGGGTCGGGCCTGTGGCAATTAGACCAGAACCTGTCCCCAGACTCTCAGTGGGATGGGCCTTCCCAGCTGCCTCGGCCACTTCCCACACCCCACTCTGCCCCGCCAGCCTCACCCCTGTCTTCCTGTCCGCCTTTTGCACCGTGTAGCCCAGGAGCTCCGTGTTGCCTGTGTCCGTGGGAGGCATCCACTCCAGGGCAGCGTTGCAGCCCCACACGTCCAGGAGCCGGATGCTGCTGGGGGCTCCAGGTTTCTCTGCGGGACCAGAGTGTGAGGGCCAGGCCTGCCGCAAAGTCCCCACACCCAAAGTTTGGCTCCTGCCACACTCCCTGGGCCGGCTCCCAGCAGCCATCAGCTCTGGGTAGGAGGTGGGGGCTCTGGGTGAGGCAGCCCTGTGTCCCTTGGCCCCGTACCAATCACCAGGATGTCAACGGCTGCCTTGGCTTCCAGGCCTTCCAGCTGCACTGTGAGCTCGTAGCGGCCGGAGTCAGAGCGCTGGGCCGAGCGAATGAAGAGGATGGAGTCCTGGTCCCCACTGAGCACGCTCACCCGCTGGCTGTCCAGGGCATGGCCGTTGTGGGTCCACGAGGCCTGAGGCTTGGGCTTCCCCTGCCAGGGAGGAGCCCTCAGGTGAGCACAGGGAGCTGCCAGCACCTGCACCCGCCCGACTCCAGGGCTCCCTGGAGCCCGCCCTGCTGGCCCTTCTCAGCAGGCACCCCAGAGGCTGGAGCCACAGGTGCCGCCTGCAGGCACGTCCCCGGGTGTCCAGCCTGCACTGGTGGCCCACCCACTTGTCTGCAGCTGGAGACTCACAGCCATCCTGTGCACAACTGGGGGAG